GGATTATACTTTGAATGAAATTATTGATATTGTTCTGGTACTTGGAGAATGCCATAATTATCGACAAGTAGCGGTATTGTACCGTAATCGATTTCCTCGTAGACGACATCCAAATCATTGTATGATTTCCAGACTTGTATTGCGTCAACGACAACGTTAACGTCAAAAACGACAAAGACGTCATATTAACGTACCAGAAAGGGGTGATCCAACAGTACTTAGCCGTATTGGGAATGACAGCTATTAATCCACGCGTGTCAACGAGGCAAATCGAAAGAGAATTAGGTATTCTGAAATCAACAAGTCGCAGAATCTTGACCACTCATAACTTCCATCCTTACCATATCACTTTAACACAACAATTAACACTCATTGATTTTCAACAAAAACTAGAATTTTGTAAGTGGGCACAAATAATGTTAAATCGTGATCGAACATTTTTCAGATTTGTTTTATTTAGTGACGAAGCAACTTTTCACAACATTGGACAATTAAATCGACATAATTTTCATTATTTTCTGGATCTGTTGAAAACCCACGTTGGTATAGAGAAGTTAATCATCAACATCGCTGGAGCCTCATTGTATGGTGTGGCATATTAAACGGAAACCTTATCGGCCCTTATTTCTTTGACGAAAATAGTAATAATTATTTACACTTTCTACAATAAAGATTGCCGGCGTTGCTTCAAGATATCGATCTGGATACAAGACAACGTATGTTCTTTCAACAGGATGGTGCGCCTGCACACTGGAATAGAAGAGTTAGAAACCATTTAGATCTCACGTTCCCAGGTAGATGGATAGGACGCGATGGACCAGTGTCATGGTGTCCTAGATCTCCAGACTTGTTAAGTCTAGATTTCTTTTTATGGGGATACTTGAAAAACGTAGTATATTCAAAAACACCCACAACAAGAGAGAATATGATGGAGCGTATAACTCTTGCCTGCCGTAGCGTTCCAAGAAATATACTTTTATCGACAGTTGACAGTTTTGAACGTCGAGTCCAATTATGTGTGGATAATAATGGACAGATATTCAAACACTTATTAAGATCATAATCATTTCACATAAAAACTAGATTCTGATATGAATCGACCGGATCAGTCCCGATCTTGCTTTAATCGGCCGGATCAGCCCCGATCTTGCTTTAGTCGACCGGATCAGCCCCGATCTTGCTTTAATCGGCCGGATCAGTCTCGATCTTGCTTTAATCGGCCGGATCAGTCCCGATCTTGCTTTATAACTTAACTAGTACTTAACGAAAAGTAACTTAATTATAGTGTTTTGGAAAGCTCTCGAGATGAGATGTAAGAATGTGCAATGAGAAATAAGGGGTTCCATTTAAAAAATTAAGTGACCTTCACGTGACCTTCAGAGAACTATCCAAGGTCAAATCGATGGCACCGTCTTATGTCCCCCTTCGAGTCAAACAACTTTTGTCCGAAACATTTTTGTCTACTGGGTTTAGTTTTCGAGATATTTGGCTGGATCATTAAAAATGGGACTCCCTGTATATCTATCTCATTTTAAGTGCAAAGATATTTGGGGATTTCATGCAACGCGAACAGATCTATTATTGTACATCATGGCATTGTCCAGCTTGTGCTCGAAAGCCTATGCGCTGGAGATTTGCTATTTTAACCAGAGGCCAATTGCTATTCAAAAAAATTGCTTTGAAAAATATATAGGATTTCATTCTTGTGTTACGACCACTGTTGCACACTTTTTTTTATTATTGAACGAACATGGTGCGAACACAGACATTTTCTTATATTATTGCAACATAAAGTGCAAATACAATCACAGACTTTCTTATTATTAAAACAAATATTCTTTAACCATATTTTTTTCCTCATAACTTAATATTCCATTATACAGTGTGATAAAAAAAAACAAAAATACAAAAAAAAGCAATACAACGCGACAACATTCTTAACATAGGCGCGAGTAGGCTACGCGTGTATCACTAGATAGTAAAATTAATGAATATCTCACACGAGCAAAAAATCGGAGATTTTCCCGTCATCCGGAGAACTAGAGATTGATCCCCAAAACTAGTCTCCCCCCCCCCCCAGCCGAAAATTGAAAACCTGGCAACTGTTCTCAGGAGCCTTAAATATTAAGATAACAAGAGTTTAAGAAAGAAAAAAACTTAACGTTATGTCCAAATATTTATTTACCAAATATTTCGTTTTAATTGTGATTAATAGTGTATATACAATGCCTCAAAAACATCAAGTACATAATATTTAAATAATACTGCTTTTTACTACGTAAAAAAACTAAAAAATCTCAACGAGTTTTGCTTTTGAAAAGCTTAACACGAAGCTTTGCCACATTATTCATAAAAAATTACGGAAATAAATATTTAAATGAAAATTTGATAAATTTAAGATTTAAATGTCAAATAAAAACTTCAAAAAAAATTTACATCATCATAAGCTTTATATGTAAGTAACTATCTGTGTACATAAATTACGTTTGTCTTATATCTATATAGTAATATTTTCAGTCTTATAATTCTTCATCTGATAATTCTTTTTGCGTTAGGTACATTTCTTTTTCCAGTCTCTCTAGTAACTGAAGTTGCTTTTGCAAGATGATATTTCGCTCTTTGTGTAATTCATTCATTACATTCAAGCGTTCATTACATTTTTGAAGCTCTAACAACATTTTTGTGCATATTTCTTGTTTGACATCACTTTCTTCTTGTTGCATATTACAAATAGATTCCCTGACTGATTGCAGAATAAACGACAATTTGCCATCTCGTATTTTTGCTTTCGTATTTATTAAAGATGAACAATTAGTCATAGATGATCTATCACTATTCGCCACTGATTGTGATTTGCTACTAATTGCTGATAGCATCGAAAGTGGTGAGTGTACTTTAGATGATTGTTCCTCATTTTCATTCCTGTAACAAAAACACATTAATTAATATTTATCTGAAAAAATACAGATTGAAAAATATACCTTAAACATATCTTAAAAGATAATTATTACTTACTCAGATGAAGTTTGGCCAACTTTTTGTAAAATTACTTTCTGAGAAACAATTTCATTGTGGCCAGTTACATAAGGTGGCACTCCACTGAGACTTTTTCCAAATATGCTTATCATTTCACTGTAAGAACAAATTCCATTAATTACTTAATAAATATACAGGATATTATGGAAACAACAAAAAAAGGAAAATAAAAACTAAATAAGTAAATTGATTAAACTGTTGTAAGTATTCATTTCAAAAATATCATATTTACAATAAAGTATATGGTACATACACTCCCGGAAATTAAAATCCCAACACCATGAAGGAGTTGTGCTAGATGAATGAAAGTTACACAGAATGTTTGTTCATATGAGTTATTTTATTGATATCTATTACAAGGTCACAATTCGCAGGATACGAGTGTAGCGCCATATAAACATTAAGTATATTCCGACTTAATACCCACTGTAGTCACTTCTATGTTGAATGCAGGCCTCTAAACACGCATGCATCCAATCGTAGAGGTGTCGGATGTCATCTTGTGAAATGGCATTCTACTTGTAATAGATATCAATGTAACTCATGTAAACAAACATTCTATGTAAGTTTCATTTATTTAGCACAACTCCTTCATGGTGTTGGGATTTCAATTTCCGGCAATGTATTTTTTTGTTACATTACTTGCGTTTTAGTAAATAAGAATTGTGCATTCTCTATGGTGCAATTCTAGCAATTCACTAAAACGCAAGCAATCCAGCAGAAAAAAAATACATGTGTTACAGACTTTAGATACAGAAAACAGAAAATAAACTAAAAACTTACTTTTCATATGAAAGAGGTTTTATACCTCTTCCGGAACTGTTTTTTCTCATAGTCCGTAGAATATACTTGTCCCATTTCTTCTTCAACAATTTAAATTTATTTTTCATGTGATTTTTAGTAGCATTTATGTAACCTTTTTTTTGAAATGATTCTGCTAATGCTTGAAACATAGCCTCTTTACTTTGATATTTTTTTTTCTGCAACTTTTTCTCATGCTGTTCATACTCTGTGAAAAACAACATTATGGTTTTGTGGTTCCAAATAAAATGACCATCCTTATTAAAAACAGAAGTATTCTTTTTTTCATCATCTGATGAATCTGTAATCGAAGAATCCAATGAAGGCACAATTGTAGGCTTATATTGCATAGAATTTGTTATGGGACCTATAATAGAAGGACTTTCGTAGGTTATAGCTTGAGGCTGGATTCTAAAAGAACCTGATTTATTTGGTAAAGAATCCAGAGGTACACTTGTAGTTAGGTATTGTGTCGAGCCTCTTGTGGAAGTTATGACAGAAGCATATGCAAGAGTTTGGGGTTTAATTAGAAGCGACATCGTTTTAGGTATTATTTGCACAGTTGAAACCTTTGGAATTACAGATCTCGTTATTAAGGAACTAGCGCTTGTAGGATGTGCCATTATAATTTTTCGATCAGATTTAATTATCAATGGTTTCTCTTGCTGCAGACTATGTACTATAACAAAAAAAATGAACAATATTGATATAATACAGCATTCATACAATTAGTCAATATATTAGTTAATAAAAATGTAATTGAAATACTATGAGTATATATTAAAGCAATCAACATAGTATACTACAACGTTGTGCAAATAATTCTTACCTGAGTATTTAAAAGAAATCTCTATGTTAGGAATAGGCAATCCTTCCTTTGTATTTAATTGGCTTGCACCCCAAGAACGAGGTGAACCTGGCCAGGATCGAACTATTGGTAGAGACGGACTCAAAACGTGTAATAGAAATACAATGCACTAGCCACCTCGAACTGGGCAGATAAGGCCGCAGCACACACTTTTCCATGACGCATAATGCATAACGCATAAGAGAATCAACCAATCAGAGTCCTTCATTTTCATCCCTACTCCTTGCTCTACGAATCTTGCATAGTGCGTTAAGCATAATACAGAACGTGTCGAAAAATCCGTAAAGTTGAATTTTTATGTTTGTGCAAGTTTTTCACGTTCTAGATCGGCCACTTCCAAGTTCGTTCTAACCTTGTTAAAAGTATTTGATCAAAATATATAATATGGATCATAATTCATATTATTTTGACACTCATTATCAATATGCTAATACTGATCAGGAACCATCGAATGAAATAAACATTCAAGAGATTGAAGAGGTGGATGGAGATGGTATATTGATTTCTTTAGTACAAAGTCACCCGTATTTATATAATAAGGAACTTACTGATTTTAAGGATAGCATTAAAAAAGAAAATGCTTGGATAGAAATAGCCAAGATTTTAAACATTACTAGTACGTAATATCTCTCTAATTTTCTATAATATTTTATTAATTGTATTTGTTGGAAAGTAACTATATATTCAGTAACTTTAATATTTAAATTATTTTTAAATAATAAATATTTAGAAATTAAAATTTTTTAAATAAATTGTATATTTTTTATTTATGAACGGTATAATTCACGAAACGTTGGTATTAAAAATGAATATAGACACAGCGATAAACCGCAAACCTTGTGATATAATTATTTAAGATTAGTATAATTTTCATTTTTTACTACGATTAATATAATTTTCATTTTTAGTCAATGATTGCCAAACCAGATGGATACGTCTGAGAGAGCGATATACGCGAGAAAAGAAGCAAAAAAAAGGAGAAACAACAACTGGAAGTGAATCATCAAAATGAAAGGCCTTTGAATATTTTGATAATATGCAGTTCTTAGAGCCATTTATTAGAAAGAGAAGGTATAAAGTTAAGATAAGAAAAAAATCTTAGATCCAAAGCGAATCTTAATACTTAATATAATAATATATATATAATATATATAATTCTTGTACTTTTTTAGTTCTATAAACGTGCTAATATAGTTTATTGGACTTAAAACACAATCATACTGAAGCTGGAAGTAAAATCACAAATCAAATTGTTTGTCAAGTTCAAATAAACTGTATCAGCTAGCAGTTTATAGAGCTGAAAAAAGTAATGTGAAAAAGAATAAACATTTATATTATATATAAGTATTATTAAATACCATAATCCGCTTTGCACCGAATAAAGGATTTTTCTTATGATATTCTTCTTGTAATTGTATTCTTTCTTACGTAAAATTAAAACTTCTTGTATAAGTGATCCTTTTGCATTATTTTTTTTCCAGAACGATGACTAACTTACAGATAAAAAGAGCGCCTCCATCAGTAGGATATTCTAATCTTCAAAGGTTTATAAAACTTATCTGTCTCTCTTTTTTTGCGACATTGTTTTCTAATTTTTATACATTTATGTAAAACTTTGAAAGCATACATTTGCGAATCAGTAATAAAGTTTCTTTTTTTTTTCCAGAAATTATAGCTCAAATAACGGCAGACAAAATAAGTTGTCTTGCATGAATGTGGCTGATGAAAGTAACGACAACGACATACATATAAAAAATATGCCCAGTATGTCACTGCCAAAATACACCAGTCTTCAAAAGTTTGTAATTAATCATCATACATATATAACTGGAAGTATGTATTCGCAAATCAATAATGGAATTTTTTCAGAAACTTTAGCTCAAATGATGACAAAGAAAATAACTTACCTTGCATGAACGTGACTACTTCTGATGAAAGTAATGACAATAACGTACATATAAAAAGTATGCCACTGGCAAGATATTACAGTCTTCAAAAGTTTGTAATTAATCTTCACATATAACTGGAAGTATGTGTTCGCAAATCAATAATGGAATTTTTTTCATAAACTTTAGCTCAAATGATGACAAAGAAAATAACTTGCCTTGCATGAACATAGCTACTTTAGAGAAAAACAACAACGATGTATGTGTGAAAAATATGCTACCGTCGGCAAGATATTCCAGCCAAAAGTTTGTAATTAATTATTACATATAATTAAAAGCATGTGTTCACAAATCAATAATGAAATTTTTTTTCAGAAACTTTGGCTCAAACGGCAACCAAAATAACTTGTCTTCTGTGGCTACTTCGATTGAACAGTCTCCAGCAGATATAAGCAATGTAGATTCAAGGCAGTATGCATTTAAAGAACTTTCACCCAAATCTGGAAACAGTAGAAGAGCAGTGTCACAAATTTTATCACCCTCAACAGAATTTCAAGAGCGTTCCACACGAAAAGATGTTCAAACCAAATCAAAAGGAAAATCACAACCAGATTTTTTACAAAATGCAGTTTGTAAAGTAACCTCTTTATTAGAGAACAGGTCTACGACATCTTTATTGTCATCTTTTAATTCAGAAATACCAGAAGACGTCGCTTTTTGTCAGCTCATATTATCATTACTTAAAAATATGCTTCAATCTGAAAAAACGCAAAAAAAGGAAATATTACGAATCATGTACGATTTATAAAATTGTGAACATAATTCTTAACTATACAATTATTCCAAAAAGTAATATATTAGTTAGTAATTGTATACACACACGTACACATATATGCTTCTAACATAATGCACAGAATCGTTAAATTAAATGCAGATCTGTTTATTATTTATTATTTTTGATTCTGCAGATTTTTTGTTTTGTATTAAAAGATACAGTGCAATATTACATAGAATAAGTTTAAGATAATTAGAAATTTTTATTTTTTTATTTGTAGCTTTAATTGTGAGCTTTAATTGTGATAATTTTTTTTAATTAATCACTTTTGAGTTAATATTGTTAAGGTACGAGAGAAGAATCCACTCGATCATATTATGATTGATCACAATCATTTACAGTGATCGATGCTTGAAGTTTTTTTATTTTATGTTTGTGTGATGAATCACAACTGACAATATGAAGTGCGATTCACTTAACACTATTTTCTTTGCCGTCATGAGCTAATTTTTTAAGAAAAAATTTATTTTTTATTTGTGAACACATGCTTTCAATTATATGTGAAAATTATAAATTTAATGCTTCGAAGCATTCTTTGATTACTCAACAAAGTTTCAACGTTAAATGGACTGATGATCAAATGGATTCTTTTTAAAATAGTGACATGATAATTCTGTCATTTCGGACTGTGAATACATACTACAAGATTATTTGTTATAATTTCATTATACATGATATTTGCAATTGTTACAAGATTATTTGTTATAATTTCATTATACATGATATTTGCAATTGTTACAAGATTATTTGTTATAATTTCATTATACATGATATTTGCAATTGTTACCATGATCGAATAGAGTTCGAATAGAGTTGAATACTTGTACTTAAGAAATATTGTATGTCAGTACACTATGTCAATTATTGATTGACGTAAAATAATTGTGTACTTAACCTGCGTGAATTGTAATGAGAAATCGTTAAAACTCAATTTAATTTTAAGTCCATTGGCACATGTTTTTCCGCGCAGTGAGAGATTATTTACTACAACAAAAACAATACGTTTTATTTCATTTATTTTGCCATAACTTACTTCTATCTGTATCTAAAACGAAAATGAAATAAATATATGAATCATTTTTTCAAAGTTTTTAGTGTTCATATTTTTTAATTACCCTAAATCACAATTTGAAAACAAACTTCTTATGCAAAATATGTATTCATGTTAAGAATTTTTGCTAATTGTCTTCATACGTCGTTTGCTAAACCTTTCCTGAAAAATTCCTGAAAAAATACGAGCAATGTAATGTGTACATTGTACAGATTTACTTTTGATTAGAACAAATGTCATGTCTTATTCATACTTGCAACTTTTGTATAATAGTAAAAAGTTAATTAGTGTTATTGCTTCTTAACATTGTCTTCTATATTACAGTAATGGCAAATTTTTTTTTAATAATAAGATAATATGACTATTTTAACATATATGCATCGTAACATTTAATGTCTTACATTGTTGCTCAGTTAAAATACAACTTCAATAATTAACTAAACCCAGGATTATATATGAATCTAAGTTCAACAATTCTGTACTAAATGAATTTATTATCTGATATGTCATTTTCTCTCTTATTAGGTTCGTATATATCCAATAGTAAATAGTAAAAATGATATATCAGCTCGGCACATATTTTTTCTTCTATTCAATCTCTCTGAATTCATTATAAAGATCTTGAATCAGTAAAAGTATTTGCAATCTAGTTCATCTGTAATTATATGTTGCATCTGGATACAAATTGCTTACGTAAAATTGATGCAAGATTTGTAAAAAAAATGGGAGTATATATTTCTATATATCATTTAATTTACTCAGACTTTTTAAAAGATATAGCCACATCACCTTCATACATTTCAGAAATGAAATCTATTCTATCTATACTTGTTCCTTGTAATAATCCTTCATTTTTAATTTTTGAAAAAAATTGTCTCCGACTAACAGCCAGGTTATCTTTCAACCGTATTTTAAAGATATAGAAAATAAAATTTAATATTATGAGAGTTTAATAAGGATCAATATCGACATTTCTCGTTATTTGATGAGGGATACATATTCCATTTTTTTTTTACATAAATGTAATTTAAAAATAACAGAATCAATTCAAATTTCATGATTATAAAGCGTGCTTTTCTTTGATTTCACCATATAAGTGCAAACATTTCCATTTTACATTGTATAACAAAAGAATAAATGTACAAGATCATTCTTTTATTGCTTGATTATATAGAATACCTACTACTTTGATTTCCAAAACGGATGCAATTTATGAATTAAAAAAGTAGATTATTTTTTATAAAGTAAATAACTATAAAAATATGTTCAATAAAAATAGAATGTTATGAACACAACTTTTATACGTACATATATATACTTATTTGAAATATAAATATTAATACGAGTATATATGAGCTTTATATGTGCCTTTACAACCTCCTTAAGAGGTGTAAGGGCACATATATCATTAAATAAATTATGACTTAATTATGAGACCGCTATATTAATAAATAAAATAAGTGAGGAAAGGACATTTATAAGATGTATTTGTAAATGATAGTTTGCAAAAAAGGAAAATGATATAGGAAGAAATAAGATAATTTTCAATGAATTAAAGAAATAGCAAAAAGATTTTAATAGTATTCTTATAATTCAGTATTAAAATTAACATTCGTCACAAAAATAATGAGTATTCTGAAATGCATTAATTCCAAATGGAATTTCATTACAAATCATCGCAATGCAGCCCTCTTTGAACATATTCGTACTGCCAGGGAACTTCACCAGGTGATGTTAGAAAGTAATCAGCTAGTTTATCTCTTTGTTTGTAAGCAATTGTAATTGCATGATGTGCTGAAGTGGAAGGTATGTCTGTCAATCCATTATCACGATATCGCCGCCATTCTCCAGGTATGATGTTGCCTGTAGTATTATCTGAGTCAACAAAATTTGGAGGACAATATATTCTGTTATTCACTTCCATATGATCTTCTTCAGATTTTACAAAATTATGTAAACATAGTCGACATGACAATGCTGTCTACGTATTTTGGATGCATATTGATAGGTTTTCGATAAATCCTCCATCGTGAAGATAAAATACCAAAGGTATTTTCAATGATGCGCCTTGCTCTAGACAATCTAAAATATTACTAAAATGTTACTATTATTACTACTATTATTACCATTATTACTTATTATTACTTTTTTTATATTACTATTATTATTTTTTTTAATATTATATTTTTTTATTATTTATATTATTATCTAAAATATTACTATTATTATAATTAAATACATAAACTACTAACCTGTAATTAAAAATTTTCTTCCTTTCATCAAGCAGTTTTCCGGAATAAGGTCGCATCATAATGGTACTGATTGAAAAAGCACTATCTCCAAGAAAAAAGCACGGTAATCTAATGTTGCTTCCAGGAAGATTTGCAGTTCCTTTAGGAAGGTTCAACGTTTCCTGTTGCAATGCCGAATAAATGTCAGAAGAGGTAAAAATACCACCATCGCTATTTCCACCATACGATCCTATGTCGACTAGAGTAAACATGTAGTTATGATCACACGCAGCCATCAGTACAATGCTGAAGGTCTTTTTGTAATTGAAGAATGAGCTCCCAGAGTTTGGCGGAGCTTGTATTTCCACATGCTTTCCGTCAAATGCTCCTATGCAATGAGGGAAGTTCCAGTTTTCCACAAAGCCTCTGCAAATATCTTTTCATTTTTCTTCTGTTGGTAAACAGAGATAAATTGGTTGCAACACCTTTACTATGATTGGACAAGTCTCATGAATAATTTTTCGAACAGTAGACTCTCCACATCTGAAAGCCAGCGCAATGGATAATATTTGATCGCCAGTTGCTAAATATCTGTAAAAAAAAGTTATATTGATATATGTATATAAACAGAAAAAAAAAATTACTATAAAAGAACATTTGCTATAAAATAATATAGTGCGATACATATATTTTCTTCATTAATGTAATAATACATAATAAAACAAGTATTTCAATACCTCAGAGTTATGGTCAATCGTTGCTCTGGACTAAATGCTCGATGGTTTGATTTAATCAAGAAAGGCTCATTTCTAGTAGAAGGTTAAAAGTTTCTGTACTCATTCTTACATATCGAAAAAATATATCTTTTTCATTATATCTTAACTCTTGGAAGAGATGCTGATAATCGCCATACAACGGACGAGCAACATTGATGGGTCTCACCCATCATCTCCGATTTAACCACTTCCTTTGTCGATTTCTTTTTTGTAACAAGCCCAATAGACACAATTGTAAAACCGCGAAAATGCAGAAGTCATCATCGTCCATGTTTCTTTATATCCGACAAGAGTTTAATATCTAAAATACAAAAATATATATAGATAAGAAATAACTATATATATTTTTAATTTTATTGATTTGATTCTGTAAGTAACAATGAAAAATGCAGGTCTTCCGTCAGTACTTACTTCCAGATATATTTTAACAGGATTCGAATCGAAGTCTTATGTCTTATCCGTTAGATAACTACCTTGCCGCAAAGTCACACAGCCTGAAAAGGAGTCTCTGTTGTATTTCATAGAAGTATCTCACAATTCTTAATTTTATTGTATTATTTTATATCATATTTACAGCTACATAAAAATTAAGTTATTTGTATAAAACTTTTAAAATATTATAGAAATCAAAGCCTTACACAGTCTAGCTGGATCTTAATGCTTGTATGATTCTTATGTGAATTTATATACTACGTATGTAGTCCCACAGAAACGCGCGCCGAAAAATTTCCAGTCTTGAAACGCTAACTCTACTAAACTACCGCAGTAATATCACGAGTTAAATTGACTAGCAATTTAACAAATTTTTGATGCTTATTCGCATCTTCGAAACGATCTTAATAATTATGAACATAATATTATGTCATTCATCATTATTAAGATCGTTTCGAAGATGCGAATAAGCATCAAAAATTTGTTAAATTGCTAGTCAATTTAACTCGTGATATTACTGCGGTAGTTTAGTAGAGTTAGCGTTTCAAGACCGAAAATTTTTCGGCGCGCGTTTCTGTGGGACTACATATGTAGTATATCAATTCACATAAGAATCATACAAGCATTAAGATCCAGCTAGACTATGTAAGGCTTTGATTTCTATAGTTTGTGTTATCACATGTACGGTCCTATAATATATTATATTATTTTAAAATATTGCACAAAAACTGACTTTATTATTGCTTTACTAAATTAGATAAAATATATTTAATATTATAAGAGATATTTGGTAAAAATGTAGATTAAGGGAGCCCTCCTCAATGACCTTAACCTTGACATATGTTATAAAGGTCATGACCCTGAGTGACCTTAAGGAAGTTTTAATCGTCGGACCTAACTCGTTAAAAAGTTATTAACAAAAGAAAATTTAAAAAATAACGTCTTATTTCCGCTATGTATGCAATATTAAGTACTATTCTGCACACCTCTACCGACAGGGTAGATGCGGGAGGGGGTGGGCCGTAGATGAACAATTGAAATGAACAAAAGGAAAGATTCTTGAGTGTTCAAGATGCCTTGTTAGAAATAATAATTCTGTTACCTGCCCTTGTTCTAGCACATCTAAAACTGTCGTTGAAAAATCAAGCAAAGCTGAATAGTAATAATGGGAGACAAAGACCAGAAATACACAGACTAAAAATAATCAAAATACCTAAAAAGATAAAAATATGTACATAAAAATGATTGTTTACTTATTCTTAATTTTATTTCTATAGCTATGTAAAAACTAGGTTATACACAGCTTCCAATATATTGCACAAAAATTTTGATTTTGTTATTGCTCAACTAAAATTATGAGATAAAAATATATTCAATAGAAAATATTTTTTTAAATACCTACTCTTCTAGGTATATTTTAACTTTTATTCATATATTAACCTCTTGGCGTTTCACGTGCTCGGTAATCGCGGTGTAATAACAGTCCTTTTCTTCTTTTTTAGGTTAAGATAAAGCTTCATGCACAAGTTTGTGCGTTGGCTCTCGTTACGTTATGCGCTATGCGCATGGTATAAGGATAAGGGTATGCTCACGCGCATGCGACCAATCAAAATTGTCGAAGTGTGACGTCACACAACAAGCGGTAAATTTAAAACTGCTGTTTCCAACCAACTTATGTTAGCAGCATTCTCGTCAGATATTTTATTTTTATTTAAAGTTTACAGGGAAAAATACGTTTTGAAATAATTTAAGAACTAATGAATATCCTGTAACAAAATGTAACATAAGTAAACATTACAAACTCAATAAAGATAGAAGAATTTATTATGAAATTTATTATCTTATATTTAATTTATTTATCATCTTATATTTAATATCTATTTCTAATATTTCCTCTCTTATGCGCAGGCCCTAAGGTTATCCTTTGTGGGGATAGTTAAATGTCAACAATAATAATAACACGTATATACAAATGTTATGAAAAGGATTTGTAAATTTCATTAACTTTTTTCTCTTATTCTTATATCTATTTTCTACAGCAATATTTTATACTGTTTCCATTAAGCAATTTTGTTTTGCGAAAATAATTGCCACAACCTTTCACAGAACAGGACATTGTGTATGTAACACCGAACATTAATATCGTGTCAAGCATCAGGAGCCGCCATGTTTTCGTTTGGGCGGTCTGATTGGCCCCGAGAGTGACGTCACACTTTGACTGCGCAGTGGGTATCCACGGCGTGAGCATACCCTTATCCTTATACCATGGCTATGCGCAAAGACTAGAAGTGCGTTCCGTATCGCGCATGATGCGCATGATGCATCCTCATAGAGAATGGACTGCGCGATCCGTGTATAACTACAGTAAGTGGTATAGGATATGTTGGTCGAGGAAAATGAGAGAGAGGGACGTAGGTTGCGGCCAATCTCCCTCTTTTTCTAAGATTGTGATTGATTCCTCCTTCGTCGCGTAGGAACGTATTGTGCCCATCAATCACCCTTTTTTGTAAGATATCTGTGCAACGTTTCGAGTCTCGGAAATCTTGCATAAGTGTCATTTTCGATTCGTATCGAGTCTGTATTAGAGAAGTACATAGAAATATGGTGTATACTTATTGGGTGTGCAAGTGGCGAGGAGATAAAGAACCTAAAAGATCATTTCATAAGTAGGTACACATATTAGGTTAGATTCGTGAAAAGCTTAAATATCTCATTTACAAAGCTTTAAAATTATGTTTCGCCCTTATTGAAACAGACTGAAAATTTCGAAAAAACACTGAAAATAAGAGGTTAACGCTCAAATTTGAGTGTTAACCCCTCATTTTCAGTGTTTCTTCGAAAATTTTCAGTGTCTGTTTCCATAAGGACGGGGCCCGGAACATCACAATTTCACCGTTGAGTAGAAAAAGACACAGATTGGCCGCAACCTACGTCCCTCTCTCTCATTTTCCTTGACCAACATATCCTATACCCCTACACGGAACGTGCAGTCCATTGTCTATAGGCCTGTTCGTTTTGGCTGAACTTTTGCACCAGTTCATTTTTCTTCCTTTTCTATCCGGGAAGAAAGAAGAGAAAGAAAGATGAACTGGTGCAAAAGTTCAGCCAAAAAGAACAGGCCTTATGTCTTTGGCTATGCATTATGCGTTATGCGTCATGGAAAAGTGTGTGCTGCGACCTATATAATGCTAGATTCACATTGCATCCGATTTGCGTCATACGACGCTCTGCAACCAATCAGAAAACAGGATTCCGATGGATTTTGCTTCGTATCATCGGAATCCTGTTTTCTGGGGATCGATTCTGTATCTTGAAACGAGGTGAAAATTACAAAAGTGAGTGAATTTACTAGAATACTGATAATTTCATTGGTCAATACCTAGTAAA